GCGTCAAAACATGACGGGTAATCGTTACTCGGCCGCCCTGCGCAAGGCCGTGTACTTGTACCGCCACAAAAGCGGGACGGAGCGCTCAATCTCGATGCGCGGCGCTGCGTCGCTCGCTCGGGATGGCGCCACGCTCCTGTTCGACATCTCGGACGACGATATCGCACGCGTGCGGCTGCCGAGCGCGGGCACGTGCTCCCTCATCGACCGGGCCGTCCACCGGGTGCAGCGCATGCAAGAGGTGGAGTTCACCTTCTCGCGCGTGACCTACTTCGTCGCCTTCGGGCACGCGCAGACCCTCCCTCCTCCGCCACCGCTACTGGCACCTCCGCCTCCGCCGCCACTCTCAACCGCGCGGCCGCCACCAGCTCTGCCAGCTCCGCCGCCGCCACTTCCTCCGCCGCGGCCTCTAGCTCCACCACGGATGCGGCCTCTAGCGGTGCTGCTGGCTCCGCCCAGGCCGGTTCGTCTACCGTCTCCTCAGAAGCTGGGCTCGGCATCTCGTGGACAGAGCTAGAGCCGACGCTCTACGGCCGGGCGACCCAGCGTCGCTCGAGCTGCCCCGTGCCGACGGACAGGTACGACGAGCACTTGAACGACATCATTGTGCATAACATGCAGGACCTCTCACCGTGGGCCGACAGCCAGGACGTGCAGGCGAGGGCGCCGATCTCGGGGATGACGATTCGCGCCGGATCGCTCTTCAACCGCTTCAAATCGGGAGCCCCCACCGGGTGGGTGGCGAAGCTGTTCGCGGGCGAGGCACCGACGGAGCGCAAGCTGGTCATGCAGCGCTTTACCGACGGCAGCGAGTTTGGCGGGCACTGGCACCAGCTCCTCTTCTTCGTCGACCAGAGACGGGTGCTCTACCACGAGCCCTATGGCGGCGCAATCGACTCGGGCATCGCGTCTTGCTTCCACCGGAGCCCCGGGCCTGCCGCCGGCTGGGCGCTGGAGGTGGTGGATGTGCAGCTGCAGTCTTGCACTCACGAGTGCGCGCTCTGGGTGGACTTTGTCGCGGAGGTGGCTGTCGACTACGTGAGGAGCGACCTGACTCGCTCCTTCAGCGAGTACCTTCGCGGGTGCGCTCTCCCTGTGTGTGTGTGTGCATGCCTGCGATAAGGCTGACCGGTGTCGCGCCGCCCCCGCAGGCGTGAGGAGATCACCCCGCTCAACGGCATGCGGCGGACTTGCACGGCGATGAAGACGGCGAAGGCAAAAAACAACGCCTTCGTCGCACAGCGCCGAAACGACGTGCGCACGCTGTTACGTCTAGCCTATGTCCAGCGCCAACTGCCGCACACAGGCTCCGCAACGCTGACCGCCTTTGGCGCAGCGGCGGAGCAGGAGCCTGCCGAGGACACAGACTCGGACTTTGAGATGTTGACCTAGACCGACGTGTGATTCAGATAGTTGTCTTCAGATGTGTGTGTGATTCAGATGTGTGTGCGTGTGATTTTCGGCACGGGTATAGATTAGAAGGAACGTATCGTCACACACACCCTCTTTGAGAGAGGGACACAGCGTGGTGCACAGTAGCGGGCTAGCTTCTACAGAGGCAACCGGTCCGAGGGCGAGCGTTTCGCTCGCCCTGATGCGCATGAGCGACGTGGAAGCTCTCGACCGGCGCAGATGCCACGGGCGACACCAATCCCAGCCTCAAAAGGCGAGGAGGGCTGGTGGAGTGCCCAGACGGCAGTGGCTTCCGAAGAACTTTTTGCGGGTGACGCAAAGGATCCGAGGAGAGAGCACCTCGGCTGCCGGCGAGGCATCCGCCCCGCGCCCACACATCTGATGGAAAGTGCGAAGAAGCGGTGGCGGCAGGCTAGCCACCGGTGGGGCACACGGAGCGATATGGCGTTCGGCTGCGATTTGAGTGCAACCGGGTGACGCATCTCCTCCACAGAGACGAGGGGACGGCGTGCCTGCGAGGCGCCCGATATGCGCCAACGGACCCAATGGAAAGTGCGAAGCGAGCACTCGACGGCTCGCAGCCTGTGGACGGAGCACGAGAGCTCGAACCTCGCACTCTCGTGCAAAATCGGCACCTCGGACACGTGTATATTATTTTTGCTTGGCCGGCCCTCATGCTGAAATTCTGCAAAAACCTGACCGGCCCCTGCCCTGCCCCTACCTACCTACCTACCTACCTACCTTACTTATGGGAAACTAAAAAAGAAATCAATCGATGGGTGAAGGTGGGGTACTATACCAACTAAAGTGATGGCTGGTGGTACTATCCTGCAACCACAGTCCTTCCTGTGACATGGCAGGCCACTCTCAAGCCCTACAAGCACCAGATCAACGACTTGGGGAGGGTTGACATCGTGATTTGGGCGGAAAATTTCTTTTTCTGCTGTGAAAATTCCGGCGTGAAGAGAGGAAAAACCCGACGGA